TATATATATATATATATATATATATATATATATATATATATATATATATATATATATATATAAAATACCTGATTGTAATTATTGAAGTTTCAAAAAATAACTGTTAAGTAAACTGAGGGGGCAGTGAACAACCTATTTATGGTTTTGGGAGCAACCTAACCATGAATAATATTAGCATCATCAGCAGTTCCTTTTTAATTAATAACTTTGTTTAAAATATATGAGCTTTTTCAGAATATAAGCGTCAGTAACCACGTGAGTTTAAACTTTTAAATATTTACTCAGATATGCGTTGTAACACAGATGGTATGTAAAAGCATTTCCCCCACCCACCCAAGGGAATATTTATTGCAGACTTTTTGTTTAGCAATATTTGTGTTTCAATGAAAGTTGCACAGTTGGTTCTTAAAACATATATATGTAAAATGAGTTATGTACAAATGTAAAGATTTGTAATTTAATGGATTTCCCACATTGACGGTACTAATTATTTAGTAGTCACACTGTAATTTTTTGTGTTAATAAGAACTGTGGAGCTCAAAGTTCAGCTGTTGATTATAATCATCTAATATCTTAAGTGCCACTGAATTCCATGTCTGACAACTACACATTTGGGCAAATATCCTGCTGGGTTAGAATAAATAAAATACTTTATGTTTTCATGAAATCTATTTGAAATTTTAGATCAAAGTGCTTCATTTTATTTCCTTAGTAATACTCTTTGTTATTCAATAAAAGGAAATAAGACCTCATATTTTGAAATGCAAAGAAAAAAGATCTTACAATGGTTTTTAAATTACATTAGAAAACTATTTTCTGTATTGGGACTCATAAAGGCAGCAAAGGAACATGAATTTTTTTGGAGGCATCAGCCTGTGGGCTGCATCCTACACTCAGATGTGTTGGGATAGTCCTCATGAGAATCTGGACGTCTGGCTTCTTGTGACACAAAGAAGATGTGGCACTGAGGGTCTCGCTCTGCCATGGGGTCAGGCCGACCCTTTTCTGACAGGACACTCCACATTCACCAGCCTCCTGGCCCATCTCGCTCAGTTTTGTTTTCTACCTGGACACTGTAAGTGCTGTTTGGGAACACAGGTTTATATGAATTAATACTATCATATGTCACCCTTAATAGCTCTTTTCAAATATAGCTAGTTAGAGGTAAAATTTTGACCTAAGAGAGTCTTTTGGCCCTGCCTTTTTGTTTTCTATTTGAGGAAACACGTTTCAAAGATATTGGGCCTTTGCCCAGTCTAATGGCAAAGGAGCTCTGACGTCTAGCCGCCTGCTCTCTCCTGTATATAAAAGTGGCCCGACTGTCAGCATCTCAAATTAGCCCAAATAATTCAGGAACAAAAGAAAGGAAAAGGAAAGGAAGAAAGAAAGGAGGGGAGGGAAGGAAGGGAAGAAGAGAGAAAAGGCTGAACATAAAAGGAGAAACATTTGTGAGCAAGCTCTGTAACACATCCCTTGGTCATTAGACTGGTTTTATTCATGTTTGTTAGATACACCTTCTTTCAAATTTTTAAGTTAATCTTTCTTTACTGGGCTCTTGTGAGCCAAACACTATTGTAGATGTTTACATGCAGTAACTCATTTTATCCTCAAAAAAAAAAATCACAACAAGGAGTTATTATAATTTCCATTTTACAGATTTGGAAACTGAGGCCCAGAGAAGTGAAGTAACTTGCCCAAGGTCCCACAGGGAGTCAGTACTGGAGTTGTGTATAAAACCAGATTCAAGCAGCAAGGGAACACCTGCTTTGAGGTTTTGATGCCTCTGCGCACAAAATCCACTGGAAAGTAAAGCATGAGGCCCAGTCTCTCTCTCTGAGGCATGATTGTCAACTCTGTTTGACCCAGTAAGCTCTCCTTAGAATAGTTATTTTGTGACATCCCTTTAAGTGTCCCAAAATGAAATTCATAGGCAGTGTTACTTATTATACATATAATTAAAAAAAATCCATACAATGCCCTAATGGTAAATAGAAAGGAGAAAGAAAAGTAGTTTATTTAAAAATGTAACGGCTTGGGTAGACTAAACAAAGGATTCAGGTGCAAACCCCTTACACAGAATCACAGAGATGTGACAGCTCCACCTCCAGACCATTGCCGGCTTGCTGGACTGGCAACCCAAACACCACAGTTGCCCTGCTGCTGTTGATGTGATTTTTCTGAACAAAGCAGAGCTTGATCTTTCTTTGATTTACACAGTAGTTATATCACTGGAAAAGTCAGTGTACCTTAAAGGCCGTACAAAAAACACCTTATTGGGAAAATAAGATTCGATTTTTCCATCAAAAAGGAATGGTGGTGAGGGCCGGCTGAGTGGCTCAGTTGGTTAAGAGCTTGCTCAAGAGTTTGAGCTCTGAGCAACAGCGGTTTGAGTCCTGGCCCGAGCTGAGCAGCCGCTGAGCTGCCAAAAGGTAGCAGGATGGCTCAGCTAAAACAAACAACAAACAAACAAACAAACAAACAAACAAACAAACAAAAAGGAATAGTGGGACATTCCAAAGTTGTGTCGATGGACACCAAGTCTTTGTTGTGCGGACTGTCCCATGTACATAGGATCTCTCCAATGAACGCCTATAGCACACCTGCCCCAACCCCAAACAGGCCAAAGATGTGCCCACGCCATTCCACGCTGTCTTCTAGAGGGCGGAACTGCAACCCACTGAAAACCATCTAGCTTGTCAGGTTTCTCTCTATGGTTGTACTTTTATTCGCCATCCTTTGGGGAGCAGCTTGTATCTATTAGGCAGGAAAATGCTGAGGAATTCTGAAAGCTCACATCTGTAACCATCCTGTCCTTAGCAGCATGCTCCAATCAATCAAGGTAACTGGCTATAAATTGTTTAAAATGAGGAAGCCATTGTGTAGCTCCTTGAAACATGGCATTCAATGACACCGAGTCTAATTGTATCCCCACGTACTTGTTGACGTTTAGTACATGCCTTTGAACTTCCCTCTGTAGTTGCTAATATTATTATTATTCTCAATCCCAGGGTAAAAAGGCCATCCTGTGGCAGATTTCCAGATATTGTCCCATTCAACAAGCATTTGTTGGATACCACCTATGGGTCAGGCACTGTGCTAGGGAATGGAGTACCAAGACGAGTAATGTACAGTTCTGATTCAAGGAACCACTATCTCCATGGACTCAGGCATGGCAGCAAACACTTGTGATAAGTTATAGGTGCTTTATAAAAGAAGCATATTATCTTTCCTGCTTTGCAGGAGCTCACAGTCATGTAGGGGAAAATGAACCCATAAATCAACACTTAAAATTCATTATGGTAACTGCAATGATAGGGGAAGTAGAGACAGAATGCCCTGGAGCACTTACAAAGGGGATGAGTTAGGTAACATCCTGGAGGGGTTGAGATTGGACCTGGGCCTTGAATAGGGTGTGAGTGAAGAAGACTGATGGGTGGAGGAGAGGGGAGTGCTGGAAATGAGGAAAAGAGCATATTGGGCAAAGTAAAGAATTCATAGAAAGGCAGAGAAGCACCCATTAGTGTGTAAGAACAAGGAACATTCTGGAACTGGACAAAGAATTCAGACAAAGAGTGAGAGTGAAGAGATAAGCAAGGTCAGATCAAAGATCGGAATACCATGGTGGTTGGATATATACCAACTGCAAGGGGGAGCCTTGAAGGATTTTACAAGGGGGAGTGACCTGATCACATCTTCATTTTAGAAAGATTAGACAGCAAGGATCACATCACTTAAAATTTCCGAGATGACCAAAATACAATGGAAACTTGTCTGATTAATGCTTTATTACCTTCACAAAGAATCCTGAAACCTTTTGAAAGATAGTTATTCAAATAATTGGTAACATTTATCAAGCACCATCTGTGTCCCAAGTGCTTTATGAATTGTACTATTTATTCTTCACAACCCTAAGGAAGGGACTATTATCATGCCTGTTTTTCCTATGAAGAAATCAAAACAGAAAGGTGAATCACTGCACCCAGGGCCAGACAATAATAGCAGAGTCAAGATTTGAACCCAGGAGGTCTGCTTTGAAACTCTACATTTTTTGACACATACCTGGAAGGCCTGATTTCCTCAGAAAAAAAATACCAAACCTACTTTTCACAAAATCTATTGGGGGAAAAGTGATTGCATAATGTATGTGTACATACCTTATAGAGGGATTGCAAGGATCAATAATTTTTGTGCTACAATATGAGAATATAGAATAATATAAAGCACAAATAGAAATACTAGATGAGAAACATCTCTCCCTTTACACACGAGAAACTTGAGAGACTAGAAGGCAATTTAGCATGGATTTTGGAGCCATAGTGTCTGTGTTAGTTTTCTGGCTGTTACTTATAAGCTGAGCGACTTTTGGCCACTTACTTGACTTCACTGGGTCTCAGTTTTCTCATTTGTAAAATGAAAATATTAAGGGTCCCTAATTGTTTAGGATTGTCATGAGAAATAGGAAGTTAGAGTCACTGTCTCAAATTAGTTCCATTCTAGTGGGGAGGGCAACGTGTAGTAAATTAATGATAAATAGAAAGCAGATGAAATACCCTAGAATAAAAATGAAAGGCTAAGTACTGTGGGAGGGCAGATGTAACTGTTGATTAAAGTGCAGGGAACAGAAAAAGTGGTCCGATGGTTCGACAGAGGCAGTCCATGATAATCCATGACCTCCTTTGACACCTGGCCAACTTGCCATTATTGCCTGAGACACAGCACC